AAAAGTAAACTTTAGAAAACTTCAGACAGATTTAAAAATATATAGAAGTGAAGCAAACATAACCAGGCATCAGGGGTTCATGGCTGTAATCCTAGCCACTCAAGAAGCTGAGACCCTGGAGGATTATGGTTCCAAGTTTTTCAAGGCAGAAAAGTCCACGAGAAGCCATCTCTAACTAGCAAAATCCTGGACTGGAGATATGGCTCAAGTGATAGAGTTCCAGTCTAGCAAGTAACATGATCAATAATCAGAGAGCCTGCATTCAAGCCCAGATAAAATGAAGAAGATAGCATGACAAAGTTGACTGAAAAATTCAAGATCATGACTTATGGATCATGAGCAATGAAGTGTCCTTATTTCCCAGTTTGCTCAGGTGGGTACAGTGTTTCTTCCTAAAGCAGAAACTACTCTGTGATGATTCTCAGTCAGAGAGTGACTTTCACTCCACCCCTGGCTCCCCTTTCAAGGAGTTTTTTCTGGTTCCTCCTGAGTCAGTTGCCCATGCCATTTAGTTCAGTGGGATTTAGATGTATTGTCCAATTCTTCCTCACAAGCAGAAGGCAATCAGTTTCATCTCCTCCTCAAACTGGATCTGATATTATCATGTCATCATATCTTGCCATAACCATAATGTCCTCCAGAAAATCCCATGGCAGTAATTGGTACATCAATAACAATATGAAAGTGTTAAACAATATAAAGCAGTATAAAACACATAATGTGTAGAAAACTACAGAAAATGAGCCCAGTGTTTTTCCTCAAAGGAATTTAACAACTTCCTTCTGTAACTGATACTTACTCCAAATGTAATTATTTGTAGATTCAAATCTTAACAATAATCTGGCTTTGATGTCTTTGGTCCAACCAACCAGTCTTGTCCTATTATTGTGAAGAAGGGAATCTTCCACCTCTAACCAGGGGACATCTTGAGGAACGTGACTAGCTTAGCAAGGAAAATATCCATCTCTTCTCAACTGTCTTCTTTGAAGGGAATCAATGGATGACATGTTACAGCAGATTGTAGCTTCCTTTTCAGTACACATTTGCAATTTCCTTTTTAAATGTTTTCTAGAATGTCTGATTTCTGCCGTCTTTAGTTCTGCTAGGACAAACAATGTTACTGCCTCATCCCTTTCTGGTCATAGCATTTTCATGAGACCTCTGGCCCAAGTCCAGCTTTTGCCCCTGCTATCCTGGTTCACACTGGCAGAGACATCTCTGGGTAGGTGAGGGTACCTGGCCTGGGGATTCCCAGTTCAGATCCTGGTCAACGCAGCACTGCCATCCTGTGGGTTCCTTCCTGCCTCCTGTGGTGTCCTTTTCTTCCAGTTCCGTGGGGTTGCTTAGCAGGTTGATAAGACAGGAGTCAGTGAAATGCAGTCTCATTCCTAGAAAGAATTTTCAGGGACACAGTTTATTCCTGGAAACAGGATAGGGATCTGTGGGTAAGATGATTAATCATCAGGCACAGCCTGACAGGCAGGAAGAACAGGTTTGTACAGTCTGTATCCCTGCTGCAAAAATTTGGGTCCGGTGCCTCCAGGTGGCTGCTTGTAAAGCTGTGCCTAAAAATCTAACAGCCCAGATCATTATTCCCCACGCTGAAGGGCTAATTTATTTTTTGTGCCAGTCCTGGGTGCTGACCCTCAGGTTTTTTGCTCAGGTCTAGCCCTCTATCATTTGAGCCACAACTCCACATCCAGCACTTTCAATAGTTTATTGGAGGTAAGAGTCTCACAGACTTTCTTGCCTAAGCTGGCTTTGAATTGCGATCCTCAGATCTCAGCCTCCTGAGCAGCCATAGGTCCTCAGACTCCTGTCATTTTTTGGTGTGTGTGTGTGTGTGTGTGAATTGCATTAAGGAGTTTTATCATGGTTTTTCATACATGCATATATGATATTTTGCTCAGAAGAACCCTCTCCATTGCTGTTCCCCCCTCCACATTTTTTTTTTTGGGGGGGTCCGGTCGTGGGGCCTGAACTCTGGGCCTGGGTGCTGTCCCTCAGCTCTTCAGCTCAAGGCTAGCGCTCTACCACTTGAGCCACAGCACCACTTTCGGCTTTTTTTTTCTGCTTATGTGGTGCTGAGGAATCGAACGTAGGGCCTCATGCATGCAAGGCAAGCGCTCTACCACTGAGCCACCTTCCCAGCCCCCTCCTCCACAGATTCTTTTTTTTTTTTTTGGTCCAGTTGTGGGGCCTGAACTCTGGGCCTGGGCGCTGTCCCTCAGCTCTTCAGCTAGCTCAAGGCTAGCACTCTACCACTTGAGGCACAACGCCACTTCCGGCTTTTTTTCTTTTTGCTTATGTGGTGCTGAGGAATCAAACCCAGGGCCTCATGCATGCAAGGCAAGCGCTCTACCACTGAGCCACCTTCCCAGCCCCTCTTTATGCCATCTTAATACATAGTTGCAATGCATTTCAAAATCATTCCTCTATTTCCCTCTTCCCTTCTGCTTCATTTGTGGAAACTAAACTTAAAACATACGTATTCATGGATATGTATATACATATATAACTATATACAGAAATTATATATACATTGTATATTGTATATTAGGTATAATAGATATTATATTATTTAATTGTATATAACATACACATTTTATTATCATATATAGTATTGTTTTAACTACATATTATGCTAGTATATATTTATACTTTCATGTTACTATGTATTATCGTATAATTATTAAATTATATACATTAATTTCTGTATGGCATATACATATTATACATGCCCATGAATACGTTTCTCTATTTATATGAAGTTTCTGTTATTGATCATTTGTGTGTTTCTCCCTCCAATTCTGCTAGTTTTGCTGTATATACATTTTGAGGCTCTTCTATACATATTTATAAAATACTTGTGATTCTTATATCTTCCTGATCAACTAACCCTTTTCTCACTATAAAATTTCTGTGTGCATGTCTGGTAGAATCTTTCATCTTAACATTTGTTTTGTACAATATGAGGATGCCGACTTTAGATCTCTTTTTAGTTCTGTTGATCAGCAGATTAGCAGTGGGAAAAGAAGACTGTTCTCATGGTGCATCCTTTTCCATTCTTTCTCTTCCCATCTATTTGCATCTTTAAATCCAGTGTCTTTCTTGTAGAGGAAATATTTTTATTAGCATACATTAATTGTACAAGGGGGTAAGAGACTTCACTGAGACATTTCTACACATATAAAGAGAGTTTTCTTACAGAACACTGCCAGTTTGGTTGAGCATTTTTTTTTTTTTGAGACAAGGTCTTTGTAGCTCATCCTCCTACATCAACCTTATGAGTGTTGAGATTATAGGAGTGGACTACCTTTCTTGGCAGTGTGTGCTTTTAGAGTGATTGTTAGTCATGATGATGCCCCATAGAAACTGCAAGACAAGAGGTACAACTTTGGAGGCAGAAAATTACTAAGTCTTTTGGAGAAGCTGCATTAGATGATTACATTAGCCTTGGGGATGTTTCTCACCACTTCTTAGCAGTTTACTGACAAGACAGAGGTTGATAACTTGCACTTAATCTGGGTGGGGCTTCTATTGGGGCTGGTGGCACTAAAACCAGCTTCCTATGGCTTTAATCTCTTACTGGGAGACAATATTTTAGTGTTGTCACTGCATTTTACTGTTTTCTATAGCAATCTGTAGATTTTACGTGCCTTCATTCTGGGTCTGGTAGTTCTTTTCAGACAACTGAACCCAGTTTAACTGTTGCTGTCAGCATATAGATTACTAGTGATCTGTGCAGCTAAAATCTGCAAAGTTTGTCCGGAACCTGGTTCCCAGGTGTGCATGACAGGCCCTCTTCTCAAATGCTTGAATGTGGAGACCAGTGGTCCTTGGGGTTTTCAAGGGCTAATAACCTGGTCAGGGACATGGTTAATCTTTCTTAACAGCTTTTCTGGGAGAAGATGCTCATTTCTTCACTGCACTAATATCCCATTGTCTGGGTGTACAAGTTTCTTCATTTCTTCTTTTTTTTGGTCAGTCATGGGGTTTGAACTCTGGGGCTAAGCACTGTCCCTGAGCTCTTCAGCTTAAGGCAAGAGTTCTACCACTTGAGTTACAGCACTACTTCCAGTTTTCTGGTGATTAATTGGAGATGAGTCTCATGGACTTTTCTGCCTGGGCTGGCTTTGAACCACTATCCTCAGATGTCAGCCTCCTGAGTAGCTACTAGGATTACAGGAGTGAGCCACCAGTACCTGGCATTTATTCACTTTTATGAACACAACAGAATCTTGTGTTGAAATCCTATATTTGGGAGTCTAAAGCATGTAGAATGTATATTATGAAAAATGTGAGACTTGTCATAATATTTAATGTAAATATATGTTCAAGTTCATTCTATAAAATGTGTAAGAGAAACACGTTTAGGACTGAAAAAGTACTCAGTTAAAGTCTAAGAAGTGTATCTGAAAACAAATGAAATTAAAATATCCCCACAGAAAGTCACTATGCCTGTCTCTGTGAAGATCTTGTAAGAAAAGAATTTCTCCCCCTTCCTCCCATATTGTATGAATAATATAGGTATGAGGGACACAAAACATTTCCTAGAAGGCCAACTCTGCTTTGTCCTTAAAGGAGCTGGCAACAGTTTGTCCAGAATCAAATGGTTATATATGTTGGAGGCTAAACTTAAAAATTTAAGGAAAAAAAATCCCTATAAATCTCATTTAGCTTCCAAGTTAAAAATCAACCCTTCCAAGTTTTTACCCTCAGGTTCAGAAGTAGCTATTAGTCCAGGAGAGGGATGTTACTTTCATTTAAAACAAAAACACACAAGAAACCTCCAAGGGCTCTTCAGAATTTACTTGCTAGTACGTATTGGCATTTATCATGTTTAAAATCCTATGGACAAATTACCCTACTATTACTGAAATTTTAATATGCCAGACAACAGTATTAAATGTAATTGTTTTTACCTTTCAGTTTTGCTACTTAACTCCAAGTTATTTGAGCTTTAATACTTAACCGAAATTCTAAGAAACATAAAATCATTTAGCTTTGTAAGAAATTTTTATTTGTCATTATTCATTATTATACAACATTTAAGGATAATAAAACTGTCTTAAGATTTCTTGGAAACTTATGGCAAATTGTAAAAAGTGCAATTTAAATATACATTCAACCTGAACATTGGTCTTCATTATTTCCCACCCCACTCCCCTAAAATAAGACGTGGCTATAGAATAGTGGCTCCTGGCCCAGGGGGCTTTTAATACAGAGTGTAATTTTGGTTGTTGTGGCAGACAACAGTTGGCAGACACACAGCTCATTGTGTAAGCACAATGAACTATCCATACCAAATAGTTATAGTGCCTAAGAGTTTCTTAACTCGAGTAAAGAGGACTTAGTGCCTCTTTTGTGAGTAGCCTGTTTCCACTATAATTCTTAAACAGACTTTGCCACGATATATACTATTTAAAAGATTTAACCTAACAATATCATCACCAAAACTAACAGTTGACCTTAGGTAGCAAAAATGACCAAATCATAAATATCAACTTAAATAATAGAAATTAAGCGGTTACCCATCCAAAGATCTAACCAACTGTGAACTGAAAATACTTGAAAAACAGTGCATCTATACTATGTATAGACATTTCCTGCCACTTCCCTAAATAATACATCACTATTTATATTAGGTATTATGGATGATTTAAAGTATACACAAGGATGAAGAAATACTATGTAATTTCATAAAAGATGTGACCATTCAGATTTTGGTAAGAAGGTCCTGAAAGGATGACTGTATATTGTTTAATTTCCTTTGAAGATGCTCTGCCACTTTTATTTTCCTTTGTGATGCTGAGGATCTCATGGCTTCCTGTTGCTGGGCAATCAAGCTACCACTGAGCTACCTCCCCAGTCCTTCTCTGACTGTTTGATCTGTTTAGAATATAAGTAGCAAACTAGGTTCCTCTGCTCATTTTTCTGGAATATAATAAAATTTAATGGTATATAAACACCTGGCAAACATGAGTTTTGAAATTTTTTTTTAAGCATAAAAAAATGAAGAGCACTAACCTCTTCAATGTATTTGGACAGGTTAAATTAAGTTTTGCTTTCCTTTCACAATAATCTCTCAAAAACGTCTTTTGCAAATATTAGTGCATATATTTTGGTGTACGTTATAAAAATTAAGTCAGTCAGTAGATGTTTGCCATTCAAATTTTGGTTGAAAAGTATCTATGAGTTCTCCAAAAAGGAAACCCAACTTAAATTAACAACAGAAACCCCCAAAGTATACTGGGTAAGGAAAATCTTCCATCATCATTTATCATCATTTATCTACACATTCACATTCTATATATTTTCTCATGGTCAACAAACTGGTTCAAGTGATTTAAGTTATCCCACCATTTAAAGAGGAAAGTCTCTACAATAATTTTAAACCATGGCGTTATCTTAATTTCACCACTGGCTGCTTTCTTCATAAGTTCTTCTAGCTCTTCCTTTGAAACATAACAGTAGCTTTTAATCTCATTGGGATCTGGATTCAAAGTTACATTCTTCCTCAAGAACAGGATGTAATCAATTTCATGTTCACCCCAGATACCATCAGATTGTGCCTTGTAGTGAATTCGAGTTAGATAATTAATTTCTTCTGGGTGAACCTAGGATATTCAAAGAAAAATCAGTAAGAACATCAACAAAAAACAGCCTAAAATCAATTCACATTTCTATAATAACTTGAATGACAGCATTATTGTTTTAGAATTAGAACGTGTAAAACATTACTAGAAACAACATTCAAAGCTTACAATGACTTTTTTTGCGGGGGAGGGGTCCGGTTGTGGGGCCTGAACTCTGGCCCTGGGCGCTGTCCCTCAGCTCTTCAGCTCAAGGCTAGCACTCTACCACTTGAGCCACAGCACTACTTCTGGCTTTTTTCTTTTTGCTTATGTGGTGCTAAGGAATCGAACCTAGGGCCTCAGGCATGCAAGGCAAGCGCTCTACCACTGAGCCACCTTCCCAGCCCCTTACAATGACTTTTTAGAGAAAAACATTTATCATTCTAGATAGTTGTGATACATCTGGATCTTTAAACGGGAAATTCCAAAATGGGAAAAAGGTTACTTCAAGTCACTCAGACTTTTAAGGATTTCCATTAAGAGAATATTCATCTTTGCCAGAGCTGGGAGCTCACACCTGTAATTCTAACTGCTCAGAAAACTGAGATCTGAGGATGGTGGTTTGAAGCCAGCCCAGGCAGGAAAGGTCTATGAGACTCTTATCTCCCAATTAACTACCAAAAAGCTGAAGTGGAACTGTGGCTCAAGTGGTACAGTACTAGCCTTGAGCATAAAAAAGCTCAGGGACAGCGCCTAGGGCCTGAGTCCAAACCCCTTCCCTCACCCCCAAAATCTGCTTTGACTTGATCTGTTATATCGACTTCATAAGCTCGTTTAACAGATAAATCCATCTCAGTATTAAACAAAACTGTGACAAGTGATACTAAGAAATCAAAACTTATGCTAGAGGTCATAATACACAGACAGGTACAAGCCCCAGATCCAATGCAAATTGCTCAGAGGTAGGAGAAGGAGTTCCAGGCAGCACAGGTTACACAGTGAGATCTTATCAGTACAAATTTAGCCACCTGAGAAGCTAAGGCCAAGAACTCTTGGCCAGGCTGGGCTACAGGACTTATATAATTTTCTTTTTGACATACTGCTAGTGTGTGAAGGTACATGCCTGGAATCCTAGCATTCAGTGGTAGGTGGGATTCAAGGGGAGTTCAAGATCAGCATGGGCTGTTATATAGTAAGACTCTGTCTTAAACATATCTATCAGCGTAGCTCGGTGGTAGGCCTTCGGTTCACCCCCATCACCACTAAGAATAAAATTTTATAAAATAATAGTTGAATGTAGGTTTAGATTTCTGCTTGGCTGACCAATAAACTTGGTTACCTCTTCTAAGGGAATTCCTAATTCAGCTTTTAGACGCCTCTGGGCTGCTCGTCTCACACCAATGGCATCATTTTCTTCAAGTTCGCCTGGATTACTTAATGGATGACTACAACAACTATTGGTAAAACAACCTGGAAGATATTAATAGACATAGATGAACTTTTCCTTAGATACAGTCAGAAAGATCAAGAGTTTTATAAATGAGAAAAGAATAAAATGAGCATTTAGGCATTTTATGGTGTTTTTGGATTTTTTTCTTTTTCTTTGGTGGTAGTGTGGCCTGAACTCAGCCCACATGCTTGCTGGGTAAGCATTTTACCACTGGAGCAGTGCATCCAGCCCCTTTCAGATGTTTAAAGCAGTTAAGATAGGTTAACAGTACTTATTTTGTGGAAGATATTTCTTAGTTCATCATGAATGCCTCCTTCACCAAAAAAATCAAAATGCATTCAATTCAGATGTTACAATGCATTTACATGTAGACACATCTATGTCCCTGTCCTTTATTGCTGTTATTAGGTTACGCTCATTGTTTAAGGTTATTTGATACAGAATGTGACACTATGCCACATTCACAGAACTGTCCTTTGTAAACTTGGGTTTTAAGAAATACAGTGTGATCAAAAGTCAAATTAAGGACTGGAATGTGGCTTAGTGGTAGAGTGCTTGCCTTGCATGCATGAAGCCCTGGATTCTATTCCTTAGTACCACATACACAGAAAAAGTTGGAAATGGTGTTGTGGCTCAAGTGCTAGAAGCTCAGGGACAGTGCCCAGGCTGAGTTCAAGCCCCAGGACTGGCAAAAAAAAAAAAAAAGTCAAATTAAATATATAAGCAAACATAAATGTACTCATACAGATATAAAGAAATAATTCTCAAATAAATCTATCCTGGACATAAACTTACTGACCTGGAAAAGTAATTTTAGCATCTGATCTTTGCTGTAGCAGAAGCTTATTTTCAGAGTTAAATAAGAAGACACTGAATGCTCGATGCAAAAATCCTGAAAACAAAAATAGGATTAGACATAGAATACCAGTTATATTCCCACTTCTCCCCCTGTAGCTCAGAATATGAGTAGTAACTTGTTGACACTTTAATCCAGTCTTTATCTGGGTATCAGCTGTGACAGACAAGAGTTCTGGCAAACTAGTGAGAAAATGATGATTTGGACTGCCTTGTGCCAGGCCAAATACTCTTTCAGGGACATTGCCTAGGCCATTCTCCTAAGGGAGCTGTGAAGGCACATGCTTCTCTTTATGATACTTGCTCCCCCTCTTCCTTATTAGAAACAAAGGGGAAATAGAGGTGTGGCTTAAGTGGTAGACCATCAGCCCTGATTAAGTGTAAGTCCCTGAGTTCAAACCCACTATTGGCCCTAAAGAAATAAAGAATAAACAAAGGATTGACAACTTTGTTATGAATAAGTCTTTATAAAACCACAGGAACTGAAGATAAAAAGTTTTTCCAACAGGAGGCAGCAAGGTAAACTTTACCACAACACTTAACTGATATCAAGGATAATATATATGACTAAGAATTTCATGTCTTTTTACAGACTGTGTTTCCTAGATAACATAAATGCCGTGACAAATCACTTTATCAAGAATAATATTATAAAACAGTACCTTTCTCAATATTTTCATTCAGATGACAATTCTTCTTAGTGTCAGCCCCAATTTTCTTGTCATTTTCATCAATAAGAATACACATTTCTGCCAGGAGTTGAACCTGTTGCTCATCAAGATGGTTGGTATTTATTTCAGGCATTATCGCAAAATGTTTGCAGTGTCCTAGAACACTAACAGAGAATGAAAGGTCATTATGTCATACTTTCAGTGTAGAGATGTGATTGGAGATCTGAGTATAGTAACTAGTTCAGCTCTTTGGGAAGTTCTGAACTATGCCTGCAGCAGCCTTGCTACTCTGCCTCCCGCGTGCTCCTGCAAGAATGCTATACACTTCAGCCCTTCCTACAGAGGATCATGGCCAGTCTTTTCCAGTCACTTCCTAAAACTGCCGGTTTTTGAGATAGGGTCTCACTTCTTGTCCAGGGGCATGCCTGGACTGTTGTGATTCACCTACTTGAGGCTTCCCATGGGTGTTGTGATGACAGGCCTTATGCAGTCATACCCTACTTCTTTATTTTGACTGGCTGACCTGGAACCACTGTCTTCCAATCCAGCCTCCTACATAACTAGGATGACATGCATGAGCCACTTAGTGCCCAGCTTAGAAAAGATTTGGGTGCCTATTTTTGTCAGTTCTCCCAAGAGCAACACAGAGCTATTACAGACAAGTGTGAGAAAAACTGTTATATTCAAGAGCTTGTCTATTTTGTTCTATAATGAGCACAGTATCAATTCTGCCCTTTAGAAACAGTGTAAGATTGAGACAGGGCCTAAATGGAACAATGTATAACTACACACAGATACTTTTCAGTCAGTATTCATTTGGGGACACTGAAATCTGAATTTTGTGAAGTTTTTATGTCACAAAGTACCCTCTTCTTTCAATTTTTTTTCCCACGTAGTCAATATTTAGAATGGATGGTTAGGCTAGGTCTTAACACCTTGACCATAGATAACCATTCTTACTTTAGTGCAAATGGCTTAATTTTCTGAACTTCAATTGTTTAGGTATGATTTAAACTTACACTGATTAAGCCACTTTTTCTTATTTTTGCCAGAGCTGAAGTTTATACTCAGTCTCATACTTGATAGGCAAGTGCTCTACCACTGAGCCATGCTCCCAGCCACTTTTTGCTGGGTCTTACATTTTTGCATAGGTGCAGCCTCAGCTTGTGATCCTTCTACCTCTGGCTTCCTATGTAGCTGGGATGACAGATGCATATTACCACATCTAGCTTATTTGTTGGGAAAGAGTCTTTTTTTTTTTGTTGGTTGTGGGGCTTTAACTCTGGGCTTGGGCATATCCTCAGCTCTTCAGCTCAAGGTAAGCCACAGCGCCCCTTCCGGTTTTCTAGTGGTTTATTGGAGATAAGAGTCTCACGGATGTTCCTGCCCGGGCTGGCTTTGAACCTCAATCCTCAGATCTCAGCCTCCTGAGTAGATATGACTACAGACGTGAGCCACCAGCGCCCGGCTAGGAGAGAGTCTTAACTTTCTTGCCTTAGCAAATCCTGAACTGGAATCTTCCTGATCCATATCTTCAAGTAGCTGAGATTACAGTCATGAACTACAATCACTTTCTATATTGTAACTTTCTGCATGTCTATATCTACAGTTTCTAACTTCACTAATTGTATCTTCAAATCACCTTATGGTATGTCTTCCATGTTTTGAATCTGTTTTTACACACAAAATACTTTTGAAGATTCTATATTCCCTATGTTGTAATTTTTTTCAAATATCTAGATTGCTGATATTCATGAAACAAAGTTCAAGCATATTACAGTATGTAAGAGTTTAAATACACCCTTAGCTTTTTTTTTTTGCAGATCCTGGGGCTTGAATTCAGGGCCTGGACACTTTCCCTAAGCTGCTTTTGTTCAAGGCTGTTCATGTGGTGCTGAGGAATGGAACACAGGGCCTCATGCATACAAGGCAAGCATTCTATCACTGAGCCACCTTCCCAGTCCCTTAACACAACTTTCTAAACTTACAGTGGGCCATGGGTGTGGGAGGGGCCAGGAGTGGTGGATGACAATGAGATCCCAAATAATATCTCATACCAAAAAAAGGCTTAAGTGAGTTTCCTGATTAAATGAAGAGATCACAAATACTACAGAAAGGAAGTGTATTTCAGTTTAAGAGGATGCATTCAAGACTTTCACGGACTGTTTTTAGATATATTAAATCCTCAATAAAGCAGATTTCATTACTACAGGATTATCAGATTTTTTGAATTGTTTTCAGTCACATGGCCCTTTCAGGGTATTAAGAATGAACATCAGCAACACCAGTGACCAAATATTAAATACTCGTTTAAGGGCAACGAGTCCAATCCAAGGAAAAGATGTTATTATATCTGTAAGATGTTCCCTGTCTCTTTTCCTACATCACCCCTCAGAAATCTCTTGATTTTATCACCCCCCCCCACAAACATGTTCATGTTTGTAAACATCTGTTATCATGTACATGGGCTTTATACGGAGAAAAGTTTTGATGACACACAGAATGCCTAGACGATGTGTTTTGTCTAAGCTAGTTGGAGTACTTTTCTGTAAAAATGGAATAGCTTTTCGTGACTGGAGATTTCATTTCACTTTCACACCACCAAAGCAGCACACACACACACACACACACACACACACACACACACACACCAGCCCCAACCCCAGCTGACTGAGAAGAGGATCCCAAAGTCTACAGTGCGGAGATCTGAAAAAAAAAGTGCTCCTTTCCATCAGTCCTTACACACACACACACACACACACACACACACACACACACACACACACACACCCCTTTATAAAATGCACCCCACCCGCAGGCCAAGTTGGATCAGCGACCTATTTCATCGTCCGGGCCAGCTGGGCGAGTCGCTCCCACACCGGGGGGCCGACCGGACTTCCAAGTCGGCTCCCGTCCCCGACCCCAACTCCCCAGGCGCCAGCAGCCCCCCGGGGCTCCGTGACAATCTTGTCTGCTGCTCCGAGAGCCCGGCCTACACCCAGCGCCCCGCCTCCCGGGCCCGCGTCCCCGGATACCCTCCTCCCCCCGCCCGCCCCGCCTCACGAGCTGGCCAGGCCCCCGGCCCCCTCCGCGAGGCCTCCGGGGAGACCCGCGTCCCCTCGGCAGGGACACCGCAGCCCGTCCTCCGCCGGGGGGCTCGCACGGCCCCGCCGCACCACCCCCTCCCCGCCCCGTTCCGGCCCTCGTCCCAACCCCTCGGCCCAGGAACAGCCCCGTACCTCAAGTCAAAGACGCTGCCGAGCCCGGCCGCGCGCCCCATTTGAGTGGCGCCCGCCACGCGCACCGCCCCCTGGGTCCGCCCCCCGGCTGCGCGGCCAACGGCCTGCGCCAGCGCCCGTCCGCACCACATGCTCACGGCCAATCGCCGCCCGTGCCCGCCTGACGTCAGGACCGCGCCAGGCTGTCGCGGGGTGGCACCACTGCCCAAGACTGCAGCGCGGGTGGGACTCGCGAGAGCCTCCCAGCAGCCGTCGGCACACCCCGCGCCGCGAGCCTGGGTCTCCGTAAATCCCGAGCGAGGTCGTCAGCGAGCACTCGATCCCGCTCAGAAGCCCCGCGAACCGGGGAGGTGCCTGCGGGAGGCGTGGCTGAGGCCGACCGCCTCGGGCGAGCCAATCGGCTGGAGGCAGAACCAGGGTGGGGCCGAGGCGCGGCCAGCCCGGTGCGTGCTGACGTCACGCGTGGGTGCGGACGGGATCGCTGTCAGAATTCCCGGTGCTTGGCGCTGGCGCCGGGTCGTTCCAGACTGTGGAGGGTCGGTCTGTCCACACCCACGTAGTGATGCTTTCCGAGGTGCTTGGCAACGGGAAAACGGGTTGGCACAGGTAATGCTCGTGGAGGCACGCAGGGGGCAGGCTGCGTCTGGATGAGATCCACGCGGCACGCGTGCAGCATGGCCTCAGCTGTCCATTTTCTCACTCAGAGAAGTTGAGTAAACCCAAGCAATGTATTAGAGACCTTTTCCTTCCGATTACATGTGGAATTATTTGTGACTTTTCTTTTTTTTTTTTACTCACGGCACTAGCCTCTACCACTTGAGCCACAGCTCCACTTTTTATTAGTTGGTTGGAAGATCTCCCCGGCTGGCTTTGAACCACGATCCTCCTATCTCAGCTTCTTGAGTACCTAAGCTTACAGGAGCGAGCCACCTGCGCCTGGCCTCTGGACACGTTTACACTTGGAATTTATTAGATTCTAAAAAAAAAAATTTGCTTACTACTGTTTGTATCTACTATTTACACTGTCACCCCTTCCTCTCCCGTCCCCACCCACAGATTGTATAGGTCATTTTCAACATAGTGTCTGTTGAGGACCACTCCAAACCTACTTTTAAAAAATTCTAGTAAATAGGGGCTGGGAAGGTGGCTCAGTGGTAGAGTGCTTGCCTTGCATGCATGAGGCCCTGGGTTCGATTCCTCAGCACCACATAAGCAAAAAGAAAAAAGCCGGAAGTGGCGCTGTGGCTCAAGTGGTAGAGTGCAAGCCTTGAGCTGAAGAGCTGAGGGACAACGCCCAGGCCCAGAGTTCAGGCCCCAAGACCGGACCCCCCCCCCAAAAAAAAAAAAATTCTAGTAAATATACGAAGCAAGCAAGCATCCCATTAGCCTCTAAAGAGTTGATGCCATCCTATATCCTGAGTGAAAAATTACACTGTACATTCTATTCTGTCAGTCTCGAGGAAATAAGAGTGAAAAGGACAATGCAGTATCTTAATATTATTATGGCATTAATTGTAACTTCGTAGAGTCCCTAATAGGTTATTTGGAACACTCAGAAGTATTTGGTTCACATATTAAGAACTGAAAATATGGGGCTGGGAAGGTGGCTCAGTGGTAGAGTGCTTGCCTTGCATGCATGAGGCCCTGGGTTCGATTCCTCAGCACCACATAAGCAAAAAGAAAAAAGCTGGAAGTGGCACTGTGGCTCAAGTGGTAGAGCACTAGCCTTGAGCTGAAGAGCTGAGGGACAGCGCCCAGGCCCAGAGTTCAGGCCCCATGACCGGACCCAAAAAAACAAACAAACAAAAAGAACTGAAAATATGATAGAAAGACCCTTTAAATTTAGAAGAGAAGAGCTTAGTTCCTGAGTGTTAGGATTTGAACTTGTTTTCCCATTATGAACTTCATGTTGAAACTGAATCTTCATTGTGGTGAGAAGATACACAGCCTTTTGGGATATGGTTAATTCATGAGAGTTCTACCCGTCACAGGAGCTCCTGTGAGAAAATGAATTTATTTAACAATTTTGATTAAATACAAGACGATAAGAAATTCTCAGTCTAGCTGGACCTGGTGGTTCACACCTGTAATCCTAACTACTCAGGAGGCTGAGATCTGAGGAACTCAGTTCAAAGCCAGCTCAAGCAGGAAAATCTTTGAGACTCTTATCTCCAATTAACCACCAAAAAGCCAGAAGTGGAACTATGGCTCAGTGGTAGAGTGCTAGCTTTGAGCAGGAAAGCTTAGGGACTGCACTCAAGTACAAGAAAAAGAAATTCTTAATCTGTCTGGGCTTTTCCCATAATAGTGTTAGGGCTTATAGAAAGGATTAAATGAAATATAGGAAGTATGCATATGTAGATTTAGATGTGGGCTTCAGTTTCCTTGAGCTAAGAGAGAAGTCTTTCTCCTCGCTTTAGGTCAGGCAGTCTATATTCACTCACCCCTATTTCCTGTGGGGAGCTGAAGCTGAAAAAAAATATTTGGAAAACAGATTCTAATTCCTAGGATCCCTTACACCCCCCTGTAATTAGTGGATTAATGCCCTTATCAATGGCTTAGAGGGAACAAGTTTATGTTTCTCTGTCACCATCCTGAGTTCATAGTATTCCTCCCCTCTGGACAATGAAGTAAAAACATGTCATGTTGGGAGAGACCAGGCTACTCATCAGACATTAAAGCTGAGGTACATCCCTCTTGGACTTTGTAGCCTTCATTACTGTCAGAAATTTGCTTCTGTTCATAAATCACAAATAGGCTATGACAGAGGGTTTTGTTACTCGTTGTGGGGTAATCTTATATTAGAACTCAGTACCTCAGTTTTTTCATCTTTAATAAAATTAAGGTTAAAGTGGAGGGACAAAGGGCAAACAAATGACAGTAGTGACACTAGATATTATGTTGAAAATTAACTACGCAACTTGTGGGTGAGGAAAAACTGGGAAAGAGGGCAGGGGTGACATTGTCCAAAAAGAAATGTACTCAATACCTGTCTTACGTAACCCCTCTGTACATCATCTTTACAATAATAAAAAAGCAAAGGAGAGGTTAGTCTTTATATGGTATTTGACATTTGAATTTGTATTAGATACTGTGTTTGGAGATTTTTTTAAAACATGCATTCTTGGGCTAGGAAGGTGGCTCAGTGGTAGAGCGCTTGCCTTGCATGCCTGAGGCCCTGGGTTCGATTCCTCAGCACCACATAAGCAAAAAGAAAAAAGCCGGAAGTGGCACTGTGGCTCAAGTGGTAGAGCACTAGCCTTGAGCCTTGAGCTAAGGGACAGTGCCCAGGCCTGGAGTTCAGGCCCCATGACCGGACCCAAAAAAAAAAAAAATAAAACATTCATTCTTACAGTAATGCTTTGAGACAAGTTGTTATACTCATTTTGTATTTTATAAAACTGAAATTGAGAGATTACTGGATACATTTTTGTTTCCTATGTCATTTTTTACATTAACTGGAAAAAGAAAATAAGCTTTCCTCAGTGTATTTTTTATTACTACAACATATGAGTAATCTTGTACGACCCATACATTGGTACTGTTGTTAAGGATATTATATCCAAGTGCATGTGAGCTCCTCTGGTGCTCTACCCTTGTAAGATTAGCGGGCACAGGTCACTGACTTAACCAACTCCATTGTCCTTCTCTGGAGTTATTTTTGCCTCTTTAATTTTTTCCTCCTAGGTGTCTCTCTACTTTCACCTTGAATTTCCAGAATAACCAGTTGATAAAATTTGTGGCAATAGTCAAGACAACTCTCCAGACTTGACTTAAAGTATGATAAGACCCAGCTGTCCAGTACTGAGATAATGACCAACAAGACCACATTTTTAATATTGACTGTTCAATGCCTCCTTCCCTTTACTCCAATCTGTCCCCTATTTAAACCTGAAGCTAATGTCTGTCCTCTGAAGATGGGCTTATTACTTTTCATGCTTGCAGCCAGCACTAATAAATCTCCTTTCATCAACCTTCAATATTCAACTCAAGTCAGCATACTTAATGAGCATATAGCCATTTACAATACAAAGGATCTCTTGGAGTTGGACTTCTGGCATACCCTCCTCCTGCAGGGGATTCTTACATAAGTACTGGCCAAGCTTAGGCAGGTTTTCAAGAAACATTGTCCCAAATTACATGATTCTACTTTGGGAGAACCAGGTCTCTTATCTTTCATCAGGAAGATCTCCACTTTCTAAAGATATAGATTGCTTTTTCCTGTGTGAAAATGGAGTTTTGGCCATAGTCCAAACATACCACATCTAGCCATTTTGCCCCTATAAGCCAAATAAATAGATAAGGTAAAGGGCCAAAAGAGGAAATGTATTATGCGGCATACATGCCATGAAATGATAGCCCTTCAGTCTTTGGAGCATAGACATAACCTAAACATTTAAATAGAGAATTCATAGAGAGTGAAAAGTATACATAGGTAAAACAGTCCTGGTCCCTGGCATGTTCAGAGGTGGCATCAGAGGTGGCATCAGAGGTGGTCTTATGGTCCACATCTCAGGACCAGTCAGGTGGGCCTTGTTATAATGAGAGTCAGTGATGCCTAGCAAGGTCTGGTCTTCTGTCTGCCTCTTCCTGGTTTCCAAAATGACTGCAAAGAGACTGAGAGAATGGCTCAGGGCAAAGAACATAGATACAAAGTAGAGGCAGAAATAACTAACTTTTAGGTGATTTATGGGTCCAACCAAGAAGTCGGTGTTTTTCAGCAAAAGCAAGTCTTGTTTTGAGTGGGGCTTGAACTCAGAGCTTAGTCGCTGTCGCTGAACCATTTTGTGCTCTAGATAGTGCTCTAGCACTTGAGCCACAACATCACTTGCAGTTTTTGAGTGGTTAATTGAAGATAAGGGTCTCACAGGGACTTTTCTGCCTGGATTGGCTTCAAACTGTGATCCTCAGATCTCAGCTAGAGGATCCTAGATTAGAGGTGTGGGCCACTGGTGCCCAGCAGCAAAAGCAACTTGTAAGCACCTCTTACCTATGGATGTAGACTCATATGTTGATGCATTTGTGTTTTTACTTGGTCACAAGAGAGTGCTAGGAGAAAAAAAATGTGAAATTATGTGGAAAGTAGAACTCATAGTAGCTCATGAACAGGAACTTTGTAACAGAGTCCAACTTTTGCAGCTTGAAATGGAAGATGCTTCTAGATGCTCTTAACATTTTGGGGAACTCAGCAGGAAATTATTTTTTGGATTTTTAAAGTTTTCTTGTAAAGGTGATGCACAGAGGG